AAAATTTACATATAAATAAATTAATCCCTCTATTTTTTTAGATATTAATTTACATAAAAAATAAAATAAATAACATTAATTTTATTAGTTATGTCATATTAATGTTTTTAACTAAACAATTAATGAAATTTATGTCAAAATAAAGAGCAATAATTGTGTAATTATTACTAGCTTTTATTTTAAAATATAAAGTCAACTTTTATTTTTATTATAGATATCACATATTAATTTTTTTTGTTTATTTTGAAACTAAATTAAAATTTTTTTAATTAAAAAATTTTCAATTAAAAAATAATTATTAACTAATAATTATTATTTTTTTACACATGCCACAAGAAAGACAGACCCGTAATAAAAAGTATAATAAATACATCAAATTTAAAAAAAATTCAGAGAAAAAAATAATAAAACAAAACAAAACAGAGGACGGTCCATAAAATGGATTGGCTACCATTATATTAAAATCCGCAAAGAGCACAACATTTAAGCATCCATGCCATACGTAAGGATAACATTAACTAACATTAATTTCACATAAAAGGCACCATGGCCGACAGAAGTGCTATATAGGCAAGATAGAAAACATTGGAAAGGCATGGAGCTAGATTGGAAAGGCATGGAGCTAGCTTGGAAAATGGGGCTTTGACAGGTTATTGTGGAGACAAATTCTTTTTTTAACTGTTTAAAAATTGAAAAGTAGCTCCTCGGCAATTATATTATTGACTTATTGGGTTCAGAGGTACAAGTCTCTCATGAAAAAAGATTGGACATGTGTGATTCAACGTGTATTTCAAAAGCAAAACTTTTGTGCAGATGCAATGGCATCTCAGTTTTATCAGTTAGGGAGAGGTTTCCTTTATTTCGAACAACCCCCTAATGTGGTTCAATCTCTTTTTCAAGAAAATAATTTAGGAATTTGTAGGCCACGTGCCACTAGATAATCCAATGCTGTAAGCATTGCCCAATGTACCCAAAAAAAAAAAAAATTCACACCTTCACGGTGCAGACGTGCAGTCGTATAATATGCAAGGCCACCAACAGGGAAAATTGCCCGCCTGCATATTCAGATTCCTTCCCTTGACAAGAAGATTCACAATAAAGTTTCCACTGCAGTTCCCACATAGAACCTTAAAATGTACATAAAATGCAAATGGAGTAAATAACAAATCAACTAGAAAGACCACTGGTTCATACAAATTTAAGGTACCAGACTCCCAGTACTTGAGATGTGAAGTAAATCCAATCAATGTTATTACTTGACTTCGGGGTTTTTATTCCTACAGCTTTTATTATACTTACACATAGCTTCCCCTCTTAAAAAATGTATATTATCACCAACAAAGTTACTTACGCCATGGGCTGTTATCACTTAGAAGCTACGATGAATTGAAAGCTTACGGGAGCAATCTATTGAAAGCAATGGAATATCCAACATAAAATGCAAAATATCAAACAGGGATAATTCCATCAAGGCATTGGTAATAGTTAATCTAAAAGCAACCACTAGTTTACCCTCGCAAGATACTTACGGTATGACACGGTTTTCATGAACATTGTTGTCCACTTCAGTTATCTTTGTACCAGACAGGAATTGCATTACCAGCGCCATGTATGACAATTGTCGTGATCCCGAGATCCATTACCATCCCTCAGCTTGAAGCAAGAATGACATGCATCCAACAAAATGAATCTGCACTGATTGAAGAGTGTATGCCATACAGTGGAAGCTGATTACAAACAAAGAAAATGAAAATTGTGAAGACTGTTTATATTACCTTCTTCCTAAATGGAATTCTGTTTATCAGCATTCTGAACCTCAGGAAGAAATGCAAGAAACAGTCGGACAAGATGAAGCACTCTAAATCCACCTCCCATTCCCTTTCTACCAGCTCTAACCTAAACCAACCCAACCTGCATGCCAAAAAGGGTAAAAAAAAACCTTGAAATTGTAAGAGTCAAACATATTCAAACCTTGCCTTACTTAGAAACTGTCCGTAATTACAAGTTTTAAAGCGAGTATCTGGCATAGTTTACAACCATTGTCTGCAACTATGAAAATGTTTACAGCAAAAAAAGTAAAAAACAAACATCAGAAACTTGTTTTCAATTTTCACCGTTTCAGAGAAAAGAGAACCTAAGGACTTCAGGAAATAAACTTCTCTCAAAAAAAAAAAAAAAAATCGGTGAGCCTGACCTAAATTATAGGACAGTTATAGCTACAAGTCAGCCTTGGATCCACAGACTTGAAAATATATTAAAGCTTTATAAGTATTATATACACAAAAGGGCGAAGGAGTTGCCAATTTTTATCACTCAAAGAACAGCTCAATATGCTCAGATAGCTTCTAATTAAGTCTGAAATCCTAACAAGCACTTCACACCTTATAAGACCTAACATTCATCCAAACATATGCTGCAAATGACTTCAAATCTAATCCAGCAAGCTAAGTAAAAATAACAATTTCTTTTGCATGATCAGAAAGATAAAAATAAACAGATATCTTAACTACCTTAACCAGTGCTGCCGGGGGGGGGGGGGGTTTGGAACAATCCCAGAGCAATCCCAGAGCACTTTGCTGGACATTAATTTACCCACTTGGAACAAGGTCAAAACTAAAAACTGATTTTATCTATCACCTGGGCTTCAGTTAGGCCCAACCAAAGTATCAACAAGATCAGGTACAATTGACAACTTTTCTTCCTTGCAGATCTTAGAAATCACCATCATCCATATCTCCCGATCAATTACATTTCCTTTTCCCAAGCTTTTCAGAACTCTTGATAATAGATTGATATTTCCTTCCTGACATAATCCATCAACAAACCTATTTATACTAGCCGAATGAGGTACATAACCTTTGAAAATCATCTCATCCAAAATTAATGCTGCTTCCTTGAACTCTAACCCACTACAGATCCCATCAAAAAGCATCCTATAGGACACAACATCAGGAATGCATCCACGCCTTGGCATATCTTGAAATAAATCATTAGCATCACTCCATTTCCCATCCTTGCATAATCCACCAATTATAGAATTGTAACTAATAATATCTGGCTTACAACCAGTATCTGCCATCTCTTCCAAAATTCTATATGCTGCTTCAAAATCCTTAAGTTTGCAGAACCCATTAATCATCACATTGTAAGTAATGGTATCAAGTTTGCAGCAATTGATTCGAATTTCCTCTAAAACACCAGAAACCTCATCTTTCCTCCCAACCTTAAAAAGTCCACTAATCAAAGTAGAATAAATTGCAGAATCCACTTTGATATTATTTTTCACCATTTCCTCCTTAAGCTCAAATGCTAAATTCACCTCACCAACCCCACAAAGCCCTTTAATCAAGGAACTGTACGCATATGCATTAGGAGACAAACCAAAAAACCTAACCATATCCTCCTTTAACTTGAAAGCTTCCTTCATCTTCAAATCCACACAAAACCTTTTTATCAGTGTTGCAAACGTAACACCATTTGGCTCCAAACCTTTCCTCCGCATTTCCTCAAATACAACCCACGCATCATCCATACAACCATTCAAACAACACGCATGAATCAATACATTATAAGTGCAAGTATCTGGGAAGGCATATTTCTCCATACCCACAAACACTTCCCTCATTTTATCAAACCTACGGCAATTCAAGAGTGCATCCAACAATGAATTCACTGACTTGACAGTTCTCTGACAACGATAAGAGGGCATTTCATCGAACACCTTGAGTGCATGGTCTGGTAAACGAGCACGACCATAGAATTTAATGACATTGCAAAAGATTATCTCATTGGGTACCAATCTAGTGTCATTCTTTAGCTGGAGAAGGATTTGTTCCATTTCATTGAACATTTTGGCACGACCGAGCTTACTGATGATGAGATCATACGAAAGGAGGGTATAACGGAATGGCTTCTTGGAGCAGGCATCAGGATTAGGGTTTTGGAAGAGGCTGAGAGCAAGGTTTGGGTCTTTCTGGAGGCGTAGGAGGGAGCAGAGCCTGAAGGGAGAAACAGGTTTTAGGGCGTTCATTTCTTTTTCTCCGTTCCGTAGTCACTGAAATTTGAAAATTGAAGAGGGTGTGTGTTTAGGCATTTTTAAAATAGTTATTAAATTGTTGAATTTAATTAAATAAATTAAATATTTTAAATTATAAATAATTATTATTAATAATTATTAATTATTAACCATTACTTATTAACGAAAAAAAAGGTTAATTCAAACACTGCTGAAAACTTTGGCTTGTTTGGTGAAGCTTCTTTAACCTTTTAAATTTTTTTAGCACCATTTATTAATTATAAATTTAAATTTTTATTAAAAAAATTTAAAATTTATTTTTAAAAATAATAAAAAGTGAGTAAAAAAAATTTATAAAGTTTATAAAAAGTAAAAGTTTGAAATTTTTTAAAATTTATTGTTTAAAATTATTTTAAGATTTAAAAAAAATTTTAAAAATGTAAATTTTTAAGAGAAAAATTTAAACTTATAAAATATAAATA